AGAACGAGGGTTGCTGATTAGAGTCTAAATGCACGTTTGACTGAGGAGCGGCAGAAAATTGTATGCCTGCTGTAGTATCATCCCGTCTTACCGTTCGGAGTTTCAGTTCTTTATGGAAACTGTCAGCAGATTTTTTTTAAATGTTGACAGCTTCTTCTTTCATATGGAAATAGAAGACTGATTGAGCATCAAATCTGCCAGTGTCTATTTCACACTGGGGACTTACCTGAATCTCACTTTCAACCAATTCTACAAATGATGCTCTTATCATCAGACCAGGTACTTCCGGGTGTCCAAACTGGACTTAGTGATAAGCAGAATCTGAAAGTTATCTGGAATCCAGATGGTGGAAGGTTGTCCAGCTTTTACTCAAGACCAGTCAACAATAGTGAGATGTGAACCAACATTTTTCAAATTCACGCTAGGAAGGAGAACAGACAGAGCTGGGGGTGGAGTTAAGCAAGTCATTAGTTCAGGGTAATTATGTTGTCACAAATGGTCCAAGTTACCTGGCGCCAATTTAGTCTTGAACTTGCACCTGATCTTCAATGCAGCAGAACAATTGGAAAATAACTCTTTTGAATCTTTTGAATCCCATCCATGCTCGGAATTCCAAAAAGGCCCATGGACAATTAGCTCTCTATTTTTATTGAATAAATTATAGGTCAATTTACTCATGACTATTACGATGCGTGACTTCTGATGGTGTGTGAACAAGCTTGCAAGTTTAACTTTCATTTATGCATCTAAGAAAACTACACTTCCCCATATCAGGATATGGGAAAATCATAGGTTTTTTCCCCTTATGGTGGTTACTTAAAACAAACCAGGTTCATACCATGATAAGATAGGGCAATTCATAGACTTTGCATATCATAAAGAAGTGTACTTTATTTAAAAACATGTGTGTGTGTGTGTGTTTGTGTGTGTGTGTGTGAGATTTTCATTCTTGGAAACTAAAACATGATGGCTGTAGCAATTTTTCATTTCGCCTCTCTTCCTCAAAAACCACAACATTCTCCACTCTTCTCCAAAGCACAGACATTTGAAAGTCTTTATTACTATTATTACGTTTATTGGCGATCTCTTTTCATGATCTTTTACTGACTTTTTTTTTTAAAAAAATTGAAAAATGGTCTTTATTTAAATCTTCTGTCTTAATCCCTCTGATGTGGTTGTTGATTTATCTTTAGTTTTATGCAGTGATGGGATTCAGCCAGTTCGCACCAGTTCAGCAGAACCGGTAGCTAATTTTTTGTTGCCCGGGCCCAGAATAGACTTCCGGAAGCGGCATCCACGCAGAGAACCGGTTGTTCCCGTATTTGAATCCCACCACTGGTTTTATGGCTTCGTACATTTTATCGTATTTTATCAAGTTGGCCTTGTTTATCTGTTCCAGGTTGTTGGTTTTCTTTGTGTGATGTTGGCTGGGGAATTCTGGGAGTTGAAGTCCACACGGCTTAAAGTTCCTGAGGTTGAGAAAGGATGTTCTAATGAACTCCATGCTAATTCAGCCACGTTGAGCCAAAGTCTTCCTGTCCACTTTGGTAGCATTTCTGCCACCAAGGATCCCACGATCACGTTGATTGCAACAATGCAAAGATCCCCCCCTCCTTCAAGTCTGTTTTACATCTTTCCCATCCACCCAGCACATGCCACCTTCCACAGACGTCAAGATAGCCGGTCCAATTTGTTCTGAGTGCCCAAACCCTCCCTTCTCCTTGCTGCCTACTTGCCTTGTTAGCAATTCCAATTAATGGACAAATCCAGCAGATATTCTTCCTGGTCAGCCAGCCTAGTGAGGGAATGAACGGGTCAGCCAGGCACAAATCAAAAACATTTGCTGGTGAACACTTTTTGCTCAGGGTGCAGCCCTATTAGAGGCCATCACATGTCAGATTGCTAGAAAACTCTCTTTCTCTCTCTCTCTCTCCATCTCTCTCTCTCTCTCTTTTTTTTTTTTTAACCAAGCAGATGTCAGGAAAAGATGGGCAAGGAAAGATTCTCTGTTCAGAAGAGACCATATGCCTGAAGCTATTGTTAGGGGATAGTTAAAAAATACACTTCCTTGAAGGAGAAGAGTTGTTATTTTTTTTTTTGTAAGTTGAGATGGAAAAGGAAGAGACCTTCTTGGGAACAGGTGGATGAGGTGAGCTCCAACAGTTTCTTCGTGGTAGAGAGAATGCATCCCGGCCAAGACAAGTTTCTCTCTTCAAAAAAAAAGCTCTTGGTTTTTGAGAGGTTCCTAACTGAATCTATGTTGTAGACCAGGGGTCTTCAAACTTTACCCTTTTATGATTTGTGGACTTCAACTCCCAGAATTCCTCAGCCAGCTTGAAGTCCACAAGTCATAAAAGGGCCAAGTTTGAAGACCCCTGTTGTAGACAGAAAGACCCAGTTCAAGAGCTGTTGTCGGTTTGTTTGTTTGTTTTAATGGATTCTTGGTGTCCTCTGAGCTTGGTCATTTTCCTGCTTATATTTCACTAATAGTTTCCATGCTGTTGCCTAGTAAAGGAGAATATCTGTAGCTCAGGATTGAAATAAGGGGTCCTTGGTCCTCTCTCTGAACTTGGTTGTTTTCTTGCAGATGTTTCATGACCCAACTAAGTAACTTCACCAAGGGTAGAAGGCAGTGGGGTTTGTGTAGAGGAGGAGGAGGAGGAGGAGGAAGAGGGGGGGAGGAGGAGGAGGAGGAGGAGGAGGAGGAGGAGGAGGAGGAGGATGGGGTCCTTAGTGCTCTCTGAGCTTGGTGGTTTTCTTGCAGACATTTCATTACCCAAACTAGGTAACATCATCCGTGCTAGAAGGGAGGGGGGTTTGCGTAGAGAAGGAGGAAGAGAATGAGGAGGAGAAGGAAGAGGACTGGGGGGTTCTTGGTGCACTCTGAACTCGGTTGTTTTCTTGCTGAATGGGCAGCTCCATTTACTATGACGCCTTCGCCATCTTTGCCTCATATGATCTTAGAAAGCTATATATATTGACTTTCATCTAAGCTGCCGATTAGCTGCTTTTTGTGTTCAGCAAGGGGCCATGCAAATAAATAGAGTAAGAGACTGGAATGTATCATCCCGAACAAAAGATAATGGATGGAAACGAATCAAGGAGAAGACCAACCTAGAATTAAGGAGAAACTTCCTAACAGTGAGAACAATTAAGCAGTGGAACAACCTGCCTCCAGAAGTTGTGGGTGTTCCAACACTAGAGGCTTTTAAGAAGAGACTGGACAGTCATTTGTCTGAAATGGTACTATAGGGTCTCTTATTTAAACAGTGAGCTGGACTAGAAGTCCTTCAAGGTCCCTTCCAACTGTATTATTCTCTGTTCTACCTCTCTGCCTCTCTACAGTCTGATTTAATCATGGTAGCTTTTACCAATAGAAAACTTTCTTTTAATCTAATCCTCTACTGTGTGGCAACCTGTTATTATTTCCCTAAAGCAAATTATTCCTCTAACTTTGTGCATTTCTTTTAAATGTGGAAATTAATAACCTCAGTCAAACATTCTGTTGGCCCAGATTTTCTGCCGTTAGTTATACTGTACCTGCTAATTAGCTCACAAGGTTTTTGCACTGACACCCCACTGTTATTTTCCAAGGTTCATTCTAATTATTATTTATTACAATTATTGATACCCACCACGCAACATACAAAGCTGACCTCAGAAGCTTAGAAGTGACCTCAAAAATAATAAAAACATGATACGCATTATTACTCAAATGAAAAATAACAAATCCTCGAATTTTTTTCCCATGTGGTGGTTGATAAAACCTGGCTGAGATGCAGCAAAGGAGGGACATTTCTCCCCTGCCCAAAATGCTGGAGCCCAGAGTCTTCCATTTTTATTTTTATTTTTTGTTTCTTTATTAAAATTTTAAGCCACCCATCTTTCCTATATAAGGCAACTCTTGGGAGACTTACAGAAATAGAAAAATAATTAAAATATTAAAGTTATGCAAATTAAAAATGTAAAACTAGAGGTAGTCCTGTACCATTTCAGACAAAGGTCTGTCCAGTCTCTTCTTAAAAACTTCCAGTGTTGGAGCATTCACCGCTTCTGGAGGCAGGTTGTTCCACTGGTTAATTGTTCTAACTGTCAGGAAGTTTCTCCTTAGTTCCAGGTTGCTTCTCTCCTTGATTAGTTTCCACCCGTTTATTTATTAATTTATTTATTAATTTAATTTGTACCCCGCCCTTCTCCTCATGGGACTCAGGGCGGCTAACAGGCTCATAAAAACCACAATACAAATACAATGATATCTATATTAAAAACCAAATTAAAAGGAAATATTTAAGAAGGCCGATCATTAAAATTATCCTTAAAATACCCTTAAAAAACCCCGCTAAAAATCCCTAGGCCAGACCCGCTTGTTGAAAAAGCCGTTGCTTCTTGTCCTGCCTTCAGGGGCTTTGGAGAATAGCTTGACTCCCTCTTCTTTGGGGCAGCCCCTTAGATATTATAAGACTGCTATCATGTCCCCCCTGGTCCTTCTCTTCATTAAACTAGACATCCCCAATTCCAGCAACCGTTCCCTATATGTTTTAGCCTCCAATCCTCTCTCTAAGCTAGTCTATCTTCATTTTTCTGTCTCTTCCTCCCTCCCTCTCTCTGTAGATAAAGACGATGTGAAGCAGATCCCGTGTCCCAAGACACCGAAGAATGCTTGGCAAGCACCGTCTTTTCCAGCCATCTGTTGAAGATGTTCAGTGTGGTTGTCCATCCATTTCATGTAGGGCGGATGGCTTTGTTGCCTTCTAGGGAATGAAAACCAGCCAGACCAGACCTGCGGAGATGGCTGCATGACCTACCAATTCATCTTTAATCAAGAGGTGAAGCATCCCAAAGGAGACCGGCTTTCCCCAGCTTGCAAACAGATATAAAGCCTTCTACTCTGTCTCTTTTGCTCATTAGAGGTTGGTGGCTCATCCCTGGACTAGCTGAGAGTCCTCCATCTCTGTACTGTGAGATCCTGTTCTGGAGGGCTGGACGATTTCAGGACTACAATGGAAGAGAATGTATTCAGCGTCCAACAGATTCAGCCCAACGTGATCTCAGTGAAGCTCTTCAAACGCAAGGTTGGTGGCCTCGGATTCCTGGTGAAGGAACGAGTCAACAAGCCACCTGTGATCATCTCTGACTTGATCCGAGGAGGGGCAGCAGAACAAAGTGGCCTTATTCAGACGGGAGATATTATCCTAGCAGTCAATGGGAAGCCCCTGGTTGATATGAACTATGACGCAGCCTTAGGAGTCCTTAGAAGCATCGCTTCGGAAACTTATGTTGTTCTCATCTTAAGAGGCCCCGAGGGCTTCACCACTCACCTAGAGACAACTTTTACTGGAGACGGGACGCCGAAAACCATCCGAGTCACCAGACCTCTGTGTGGGACGCCAACCGTAGGTGATCAGGCATCTGCTCCGAGCATCCACACCAAAGACAAGCAACAGAGGGAAGAAGAATACAGAATGGGGGGCTCCGTCAGCTCCCGATGTACCCGGGAGAATGGGCAAGAGGAAGAAGACTTGGTGCACATCAATGGCATGGTAGCCAGCAACGTGGCCAAGGACACTCTGAAAGGAAACCAGGATATCCCCGACCATTGTCTGAATGGCAGTGTTGAAAACAGTGAACTGCTCAAGGAGATTGAACCCGTCCTGGATCTCCTGAAGGGCAACAGCCAGGAACTCAACGGCAATGCTGAAGCCCAGATGGCGATGAGAGACGTCGAAGTCCAGGTGGACAGGTAGGATGCGAGAATCATTTCACACTACGGGTAGCCCTCAACGTACAAAATTTCCATCGCTAAGCAAGGCAGTTCTTAAGTGAGTTTTGTCCCATTGTACTTTTTATGCCACAGTTAAGCGAATTGCTGCATTTGTTGAGTTGAGTTGACTTGACTTGACTTGACTTGAGTTTGGTGATTAGGCAACTTTGGCTTCCCCCATTGACTTTGCTTGTCAAAAGCAGGCTGGGGTGGCTGCAAGAGGTGATCAAATGACCCTGGAACAGTGCAACTGTCATAAACACATGCCAGTTGCCAAGGGTCTGAATTTTGTGACCATGGGGATGCTGCAACAGTCATAAGTATGGAAAATGTTCATGTCTACGCTACCCATCTCCCCAATAAGGCAACTCTGGGCACCTTCCAAATTGTAAAAAGAGAAAGAGAAAGCCATTAAAATTTAAAACTAGGCTGCTAGATAATCCTACAGGATGGAAACCGGTGCATTCCAAACTTTTTGGTCACCTATCAGAAAGTCTTTTTATTCCAAGGTAGGTCAAACATTTCAAGTCCATTTAGATGTCCTTGTTCTGAGGGAGTCGTGGGTTCGTGTGTTGTGACCTAAATTACCCAATTTGCTGGGTCGTTTTCGCAGATTTGAGAAAACTCTGATTTAATAATGATAATAATGATGATAAAGTTGGAAGGGACCTTGGAGGTCATCTAGTCCAACCCCCTGCTCAGGCAGGAAACCCTATACCATTTCGGACAAATGGCTGTCCAGTCTCTTCTTAAAAACTTCCAGTGTTGGTGCATTCACCGACACTGGAAGTTTTTAAGAAGAAACTGGACAGCCATTTAAACAACTTGGCAAAGCAACTCCAAGCCTCTTTTGTCTGGATAAAAATAGAGCTGGGGACAAGCTCAGCCGGTCAGTTTACAGCCACCTGGGGGGGCAATTCTCTTTCCTCCCTGTTTAAGCAGGAAAGTTAAGAATAAAACAGGAAACCTCTTAGTGGCCTCTTTCCATTGAATAATTATATTTCGCAAGCAAATACAGGGAAGGGAAATACAGGAAAACCTGGGCAGAACAGATCATCCAGGGGTACTGATTTTGCAGCACGCACAGGTCCTTGACTTACGACCACACAATTGTGCCCAAAATGTATGTGGCCAAGCGAGACAGCAGTTGTGACCGTAGCACTGCCTGTAGATCAGCCTATCACTCTCCTGCTGCATTGGTTATCAGTTCCCATCATCCCCTGCCTGGACACTTATGGGAGAAAGCGTAGCTCCCTTGGATGGCTTCAGATTGGAGAAGGGCGCAAGAAGGGAATATTCAGCCAGGCAGACCAGCGTTCTGCATTGAAATAATTTTCCAAAGTAAGAGTATTTCATTCTAGGCCTAACAGTCTCTGCAACCTGACAAAAACTGATTCATAATTACCATAGCAACCTATGTAATTACTACCTTAAACAAAACAAAAAAAACCCACAACGCGTGGACTGCTCCCTGTTTACATCACGTTCATTTCGTTGTATACTCTGGCGGTGACCAGCTGTTTAGACACGCATAAAATGACATGTTTACATCTCATTAAGCTAGGATTTGTTTGCTCATGATTTATTAAGGAAGTCACATTAAGCCCTAAGCTGGGACTTGCAAACCACAACAGTTACACTTTACAAAACACACTGAGCGGAAAACACACCAACACCAACACTATGGATCAAACCGGAGGATTTGGAGAATCTTTGGACAGCCGTGGATGTGACTTAACGTAGTTTGAGGGACGGATGTCATGTTGCCTTACGCCAAAGATATTAAAAGAGATTCCCCCCCCCCGTTAACCACTGGTTGAAAGTTGACCACGGTTTTTTCGATAAACATTCTTCTGCTTCTGTTTTTAGCTTGCCCCAAGATGGTTGTCATATCTTATCTCCTTTACCAGCTTTTAATGCCTCACGTCTAGCTCGGCTCCTATATTCTCCTTGTGACTCCTGAGGCTTATTATGCCTTTCGCCAAGTCGTAAGGCAGTGGATGTATTTTTAAAGGATCTTATTTTCCACAATTGGGGTGGAAAACACGCTCTGCCCACGAGGGCACCACCTCTTAGTCAAAGGGGAAGATAAAAATAAATAAAATTCGGATAGGATTTTGCCTTTGAAGAGAGTTGCTTGAGGGCTGTGGTGATTGCAGATGTTAATGTGTCATATGTATAAACTCAGCACTGGAAAGAAACGTTGAAAATGTTGTTCAGTGCAAGAATCAAAACTAAGTTGTCCAGGACAGAGGTTTGTCTTGCCTCTGCTTGAACTTTTTCAGCGAAGGAAGGTCCCTACTTCCTTTTAGTAATTTATTTCCACGTCCAATTGCTCTTATTACTCAGCATTTTCTAAACTTTCAATGGGAACCTGGCTTTCCTCTTTCTGTATCCTGCTTCCTGGAACAACAGGGCATCATCTTGATCAACTATGGAACATTCCTTCAGGTATCTAAAGGTTAAAAGGTAACGGTTAAGTCCTGGTGATTATGCAGATAACCTCATGACTTGATTTTTTTAAGCAGAAAAAAAAAACCACCAGAGGTTGAGTCCTCTCTGAGGTCTTCATGGTGACCTGTACAGAAATGTGAGTTGATCAAATAGAAAACAGGATATTCACACGGACCCTTCGCCTACATCACCAGTAAATGAACGTGATAACACGCCAGAGAAGATGACCGATGTCCTCATCTCCTTTCCAAGGATTTGAAGGCAGTCTGTGTCTCGTCAGTTTGAATGAGACGTTGTAAAAAAAAAAAAAGCTAGATGTTTTCCCCAACATAACACTAAGTGGAAGGCTTCCTTAAAGTATTACCATTCGTCCTTCAATAAACAAATTCTTCTTTCATGTAGGAAGGCTGAAATCCTTTCAAAAAAGAAAGGAAAGAAATCATACGCGGCCACAAAACAAAAATCACCCCGGGAAGTCTTTCGCTTGGTAGAGTTGGAAACCTACTTGACCAAACTTTCTTCTTATTCAGAATAATGTTGTCATCAAACAATTTTGCTCTTGAAAACTTGAAAGGCTTCAGGTATCCATGACTGTTGGCTGCAAACCAAGAGATCCCTTTACAGATTCAATCTGGTTTCTATCCTCCCCGGGTTTAGCATAAAGTTTAAATAGAAATGAATACGATGTGAGCCAGCAGGTATTTGTGAAATTATTTTCAGTTTGTAAATCAAGTGTTCCGGAGTGGGATTAATGGAAGGACAGACCGAACCACCCCAGGGCTTTGGTGAAATGTTGTGCTGTTCCTTCCAGAGCTTTTGTATCGTGTTATCTCTAAATCTTTTTCTTTTCTTTTTGAACTCAAGTCTAAACTTCTGAGTAACGACCTGTCAAGTACATCCCTGTTGGTTAGTTCTGAAAACCAGCAAAGCATTTTGGAATCCTGTGGGAAAGTATCTTGCCCCCTGCTGCTGATTACATGAGCATATTATGTTTCCGCATGATGATCTTGCATTCCCGAGTAGGAAGTGTTCTGTTTGTGCTTGATACATTTCAGATTATTAATTATAGACATGTGTCTGGGAAAGAAAAAAAGGAGAGGTTTTGCTTTCTTCTCTTTTTCGGGGTCCTATTCCTGCACTGTGGGGTGCAACGGCTCAGCGGTTAAATACACTGAACTTCTCAGCTGGAAAACTCGCAGCCTGGGTTTGAGACCTGAGCGCCGGGTGACGGGGTGAGCTCCCGTCACTAGCTCCAGCTCCTGTTCACCTAGCAATTTGAAAGCGTGCAGATGGGAGCAGATAAATAGGTACCACTTCAGTGGGGAGGTAACAGCATTCTATGAGCCTTTAGCATATAGTCATGTTGGCCACATGACTGTGGAAAAGGTCTACGAACAATGCTGGCTCCCTCAGCCCAGAAAAGAAGATGAGCACCACTCCTTAGAGCTGGACAGGGTTGGAAAAGGAAATCTTTATTTATTTTTTATTCCTGGATTATATGTGACTTCAACACGCAGCCATTTCTTTAAGGTCCCTTTTCAGCTTTTATGGCATCTATTCATTATGAGTGCACAAAGGAGAGTGGAACTGCATCTCTTCCTCCACACACACACACACCCCATTTCCACACCTTCAGTTTTTGTTTTTGTCTTCTAACCACTCCCTTGCTCTTTGGAAACTCAAGCTCCTGCTTATTGTATTCTGCTCATCAGAAGAAAATGCAGTCATGCCATAGTCCAGAGCGGGGAGCCGCTGGTGTGCTATGCAGACAGTTTACTCTCCTGCAATCCCATTCTCTCCAATCTCTCCACTCTGCAATGGGGGGGCAGGGAAGGGTGAGGAAAAAAAAACCCAGTTTCTGTAGGCCATCTCACCTTTCCCAACCTTTCCCTGCTGCTGGTGAAGTTGAATTTTGATATGCAGAGGAACAAATAGCTTATTCTCTTGAAATCCCTTCCTCTTCAATCTCTCTGCTTTGCATGGATGGAGGGACAGTCAAGGAAAGGACACTGCCTATAGGAATTGCTTGCTTTTGTCTTGATGGTCACGAATATTCTATTCCATTCCATTCCAATAATAAAGGCAGGATTTTTTTAAAAAAAACCTAACAAATAAAGTTTTAAAAATCGAAAAATCCACATACCTGCCTTTGTATAATCGTGTGTCTTAGACAAAAGAGGCAAATACACACCTAGGAATGATGCTAGTTGAGGAGGTGGCCTGGTGAGAAGCCGATCTAAGTTCAAACATAGAAGTGGAACATTTTAATGTTGCTTGAGGCAAATTAAGGCTTTCCCATGCCGTAGAAGGGAGTTAAAGCAGGCCTGCACAGAAACGAGATAAGCTGTTAAAAGATTATTGCATACAAAGGCAGCTTGTCAAGAACTTTTCAATAAATAGAGGTGTGCATTGTGAAGCTGTTTCTTAGGTAGGCTGGTTGCAAAAGGAAAATTAGTCAACAGTTAAACCTCCCTCTGAGTTGTGAAGTTCGGGGTGCTTTGTATCTTATAACCCTGGGATTTCCT